CGCCCTCCAGGCGCGCATTGGAGCCGCGGGCTGTCGCTCCCCGCGCTCTGGGGAGGGGGCGCCGCGAGCTGCGGTCCCACGGCAGAGGGCTGCTCGCTGCTGGTGCGAGCCGGGCTTCCCCGCCGCCTGGGCGCCCGGCCCCGCGAGCGGCCCCCCCGACTTCGGCAGCAGGGTCGCCGGGAACCCCGGCGCCGTCGGTAAGTGAAGGAGGGCGAGGGGGTGGCGGGGACCGGGGTCGGGGCCAGTGTCAGGTCCGCTGGCCGCCTGCGCGGCGGGGTGGGCGGAAGGTCCCCGCTGGACACCCGCAGTCCCGGCCGGGGTAAGAACCGGGAGGGGTCGTTTGTCCGCCGGAGCCTCCAGCCAGCGCGATCCTCGTCAGCTGTGCCCGCCCACCCTCAGCTCATCCTGGCCGCATGGGTTGCGGGTACCGCTCTTCCGTCCTTACCCTTATTTGAGGGAACTGTGATTTCGGGTTCCTGGCCATTATAATTGTGCCGATAGCCTGAAGCTGGGCTCTCTGTTCCACGCCCCCGGCACTTCCCTTTTTGAGGACTTGGTCCTGCGCTCCGGCTCCGGCCGCGGGGCGCATCCAGTCGGAACGAGCCGCCTTCCTCCGGGTGGCGGGTCGGGGGTCCGCACCGGCCCTGAGAGGGAGTCACAGCTTTCCCCCCGAAGGGCTTGCTCTTGGCCTCCGGCTTCTCTGCTCAAGGGGAAAAGTGGCGTTAGACTTGCGATTCTGTCAGGAAATGACAACGGGGACTTGAAGATTACCCCGGCGATAAAAGTACCCTGCAGGTTAAGGAGAATCGTTTGCACACTAACATTCTGCAAAGTCTGAGCGTCTCCAGATTGCATTTTCCCCATTTCAGTTAGGCTTTTATTTGGGTATTTGTTTGATTTCTACTGTAATATACATTCAAGTGAGCTTCACGGGCAGTTGTCTTTGGGCAATCCAGGTTAACTTCAAATCGTACCATCTTAAACATGATCTAATTTCAGTACTTCTGTTGTACATCCTCTGGTTGGTAAAAACTCTCAGGTGCTGAGATCTCCAAGACGTGAGAGGACTTAAAGAGAGCTGTAGTCAGCTGTGGTTCTAGGGCTTATGGAAGCATTGCGTGAGGAGGGACACTGCACAGTGTTTATATTTTAGTTCCATCGCTGTTCTAGGATGACTTTGTCTTTCTGTCAGGGACATAGAGTATGTAACTCCCAACCTAAGGGAATATTTACTTAGATCATAAACTGATTTCCTGAGTTCCAGTTCCTTTTGTGGTTCATAGACTCAAGAGCTACCCAAATAAACCATCAGTGCTGAAGGATTTACAGAAAAACAGTACAAGGAAAGAGTTCCCTTGCTTATTTTAGGACATCCATCAACAAAAATTAATACAGCTTTTGTCAGATCATCACCTCACATCTGTGTTCATTGGTGCTGTCATACTATTCTGTGGATTAATTTTATGTTTATATATAACTAATCAGTTTGCCAATTGCATAGCCTATCAATTATATTTGGCTTTCAAATTAGTTCCAGAACCAAGAAAACAAAATATAAAGAATTTCAAAAGCTTGGGGCGCCCGGGTGGCTCAGTCATTGGGTGTCTGCCTTCGGCTCAGGTCATGATCCCGGGGTCCTGGGATCGAGCCCCGCATCGGGCTCCCGGCTCCGCGGGAAGCCTGCTTCTCCCTCTGCCCCTCCCCCTGCTTGTGTTCCCTCTCTCGCTGTGTCTCTCTCTGTCAAATAAATAAAATCTTTAGAAAAAAATTTTTTAAAAAGCTTGATTTTAAAATAGCAAGAATTCAGTCTAGTCTTGGTTCAATTATGAATTGATGGGCTGACTTATGGTTAAATAAAACAATTAAAAGTTTTTTGACTAGTGAATCTAGCGCAGATTAGTATCTCCAAACAATTCATCTTTCGGATAAAACTCTAATGCCCACCTTCCGAGCATGGGCTTCAGAAACAGGCAATCTGGTTGAATCTGATCTCTGTTACCTACTAGCTGTGTAATCTCGGGCAGATTGTTCAACTTCCTATGCCTCAGTTTCTTCCTCTGTAGATAGTGATACCACCACCTACTCATTTTGTAATGTGGGGAAGATTAGAGATGTATGTAAAAGGGCTTAGCGTATCCTAAAGCACAGAGTTGCTCAATAAATGTCAGCTATTATTATCATTCACTCTTACTGACCTTTGACTATGTGCTCATGATGGAAAACATTTGAACAGTAGATACTTAGGGGGAAAAATGTCAAAATTATATAACTAAATTTAAGAGGGGAGAATGACAGTGATGTTAAATTTCCCAAGAGTGTGTATGAAAAGTAGCACCTCTCCGATGGAACATACATTTTTAGAACAGAAACCTTATGGTATAATGGAAAGAACATTGGAGAGTCAGAGTCTTCAGTTCTAACTCTGGCTATGACCTTATCTAACGGTATGGCTTTCGGCACTCCAACTACCCACTCTGGAGCTCATTTTCTTCATCTGGCTGGACTTGAATGATCTCTAAAATCCTTTGCAGCTGCAGAATTCTTTATTGCATGTAATAAAAATCACCCTAGCTTTCTTATCACTTTGCCCTTCATTGTTTTGTTATTGTCATCTGTTAACTTGGATTTGAGTCATAAACATCCATAAAGATAGCACAACGAAAGAATTGATATCAGATCTGCAAATAATCCAAGTTGAAGTTTTAACAAAGAGAACAGAGCAGAATAGATTCACATTGTAATCTTTTTGGTACTTTTTATTCTCCAGTCATTTCAGAAGATTATTAGATGGGAAACGTGCCTGGTAGAATCATATACATTCAACTGAAATATTTCTATAGGAAACGATAGGCTGATGGTGAAATAAAATACCACTCTTTTTTCTCTCATCAGGTTGATCCTTAAATAAAACAAAAATCTATCCAGTAAAGGGCTTTCATGAAGAAATTAAAGAGAGAAATTACAAGTAAGAGAGAAACCAAGAATTATACACCAGAGAAACCACCTAAAACAACTGTATGGAGTAAGACAAAAGGAGTGAATACATCTGGAAGAAATATTACTTAGTATATTTTTGCCCACCTTTTTGTCCTAAAGGCTGCTAAGGAAGAGAGAATATAGTTTTCTAGAGAAAGAACGAGTGTGATATAAAAATGGAAACCACAGTTTCCGAAATTCAAGTTGAAAGCAAGGATGAGAAGAGACCCACAGAAGTTAGTCCTCAAGATGAGAGGCAGGAGGAAAGAGCATCGATGCTTTGCTTCAAGAGAAGAAAGAAAGCAAGCAAAGCAATGAAGCCCAAAGCTAGCTCTGAAGCTGCTGGTACAGCAAGAAAGTGTCCCCCAGAAGCAGGAGCTTCTGAGCAGCCACGGCCCCCAGGGGGGGCCTGGGCCTCAATCAAACGTCTTGTAACACGCAGGAAAAGGTCAGAATCTTCAAAGCAGCAAAAGCCCTTTGAGGCCAAAGTGCAACCTGAAATCAGTGCTGAGGATGCTGATCTTTCTAAGAAAAAGGCAAAATCCGGACTTAAGATTCCCTGCATAAAATTCTCAAAAGGAGAGAAACGAAGTAATCATTCCAAAATTATAGAAGACTCAGACTGCAGCATCAGAGTCCAGGGAGAGGCTGAACATTTGGATACAAAAGCTCCAGCCCAATCAGATGACCAGGCAATAAAGACCAAGTTGCCCCAGGATATAAGTAAAGATGTCTCACGGAAAGTGGGTGATGAGGTCTGTGAACCAAATGTGAGCAACAGCACAACTACAGCTGGAGAAAAAGTGATTTCAGTAGAACTTGGGTTAGATACGGGGCATTCTGCCATTCACCCAGGAACACTAATCCTTGAAAGAGATACTGAAATGACTGAGGAAAAACAAAGTGTCCAATCCCAGCAAGCAAGCCCACTTGAAACTTCAGAAACAGAACATCAGCCACCAGTGGTTTCTGATGTTCCTCCCTCACCTGCCATCCCAGATCAGCAAATTGTGGAAGAAGCCAGAAGCAATATCCTAGCAAGTGGACCAAATTGGGAAGAGCATGAAAGTAGAGAGATTGTAGCTGAAGAGAGTGAGCAGAAAGATACTGAATTGAGCCAGGAATCAGAGCTGAGAGAAAATGAGGTCACTGCAGAGAAACCCAAACCAGAAGAAAGCAAAAGAATGGAGCCAATTGCTATTATTATTACAGACACTGAAATCAGTGAATTTGATGTTAAGAAATCTAAAAATGTCCCTAAGCAATTCTTAATTTCAATTGAAAATGAGCAAGTAGGGGTTTTTGCTAATGATAGTGGTTTTGAGGGTAGAACTTCAGAACAATATGAAACACTCTTAATAGAAACAGCTTCTTCTCTTGTCAAGAATGCTATCCAATTGTCTATAGAACAGCTGGTTAATGAAATGGCCTCTGATGATAATAAAATGAACAATCTTCTACAGTGACTTAATTTCCAGATCATGGAAGGAAAAAAAAAAAAAGCTTCATGTTAAATTATTTTGCATATTTGTGGCATTTCTTATTCAGTTACAAATGAGAGGTTTATCATCCATGGAATTTACAGGTACAGTTCCAGCCCTGAAGTGCTAAAAATTTAGTTTATAAAACTCTCCTACCATTGAAATGCAGTCATTTCTGGATTTTGGAGGAAGGTAGTGCAGATCGCAACGCAAGTGACATACAGGGAATTGCTAAAATGACATGTGGAAGTTGGGGTGCTTGGGGGGAGGAAGCTGTATTTATTGAGCACTTATGGTATGCCAGAAACTCTTTAATATTCTCTGATGTCACAAAGCCTGGTTTCCTTTTGATAGTTCAATCCTGTGTATAGGTTAACATCACGTTCGATTTTCAAAAAAAATTTTTTACAGTGCACTTTTTTGTTTAAAATGGTGAATAAGGTGAGCTGTTTTTGTGAATGTGTGATTTACAGTTGTTACACTCATAGGCAGTAGTCTTACCTCAAAAAAAAAATATTGCCTTTTCCTAATTTCAGCAGAATGTGCATATTTGAATTAAACATGAATGTTTTTCTCGTCTTGCTTAAATATCGTACAAAAGCCATTCACAATTTATTTCAAATAGGCAAATAATTACCAAGTGCAAGGGTGTGGAAATAGGCAATGCATTTTCCCTGTCCATCTTTTTTCTGCCTCAAACAGACCTGTCTAAACCCATTTCTGCATGGGGGCATCTGCTGAAAAGTGAGAACCAAAACCCAAAAAACTAAACAACAGCAACAGCAAAAACAAGAAGAGTGAAATACTGTGTTGCATCCAGGAGAAGGCAAACTGCCCAAGTAACAAATGATCACAGAAAACGTAGGACTCATCTTGCAGGATTGTGCCTCTAGAGACCACTTTCCTCCACCTCCCCCCAAAGAGGGAATTCACAGCCAGCCTGGCAGTAAAAGTCCCAGGAAATCGTAATAACTTACTGAACATATTACTCACTTTTGATCAAGAATGAGCCAAGTTCATGGTTGAATAGAAAGTGAAAAGTTATTGCTAAAGCACATTGTATTTTAAATGTCTGTATTCTCATTGTGCCTGTGTCAAGAGGCACTAGTAACAAACACTTTACATGGATTTTGAAAATTAACTTTTTCATCAGTATGTTCAATCCAGCTAATCCCTTACCAAAAAAAAAAAAAAATGAACTCAATGTAACGAGAAGGGCTTATCTGCATTTTATCTGGTTATTTAAATTGTCGATCTCATCAATAATTGCCATATTTTTTGAAAAAGTAATTCCATTTCAATCTTTCCTTGTGTGAAATGGCCATAATACTGCAACACACTTCCCTACCTCACAGGTAAAGGTCCAAATTGTATAGTCCCCACTGACTAAACTGAGGGACAGCGTTACTCTGACAGTAGATGAAGTATAAAGAGCTTTCCACTCGAGTTGCAAAGTATTTGTTAAAGAGGATTTGTACATTCTTGGAGAAAAGAGTGTACTTTAGATGAGTGTAAATGATCTGGTGACTTCTTGCATTATTTATGGCTTACGTATAGAAAGTATGTGCTAATTTGTCCTATAGAAAGAACCTTCTTTGTTTCTTGCTGTGAGTACATCTTGAGACCTCTGGCAGAAAAACCTAATCTGACACTGGAACTGAACCAAATAATGGATATTATTAGCAAGATTCTTTGCTGAAGTGCAAAATTATTCCCCCAGACTTTCTTACCTTCATGCCTGTAATCTTGAGAGGAGAAACCCACAAAAATCCTTCAATTTAGCAACACAAAAGTGGATTTTCAAAACATATGACCCAAGAAATGAATTTCTTTTAGTTGTACAATTTTTAAACATTAAAAAAAGACTGCTAAGTCATTCTCCCTAAAAATACTCTTTTTAATTCACTATATGTGGTGCTAATGGACTTGGATGGCTACCAGCGAATATCATATCATATTTAGAAGTAAACAATTTTTAAAAATCTGATCAAAGTTGGTGCATTTTACAGTGTTTTAAGGAATCCTGTCTTCATTTATTGCAAGAATAGCTCAAGCCAATATATACTTGCATTGCTAGGTTTTTTAGTAATCTCTAATGAATGAACACAAAGTATAACACCTACAAGTGATTGAAAATATTTTGGAAGGCTTAGGCATATTTGGGAGTTTTAAAAACAGGTATGAGGTAAATATGTGTAACCAATTATTTTTGTTAAGAAAATAACACTTCTCTAGTCCTGGGTTTCTACTTTTTTTTTTTCCCTACTATGGTTTGATATATATTTTTGGTTAGAATGTATTATAATTGATTGTTTTTGTGATAAGATGTGTACTCTACCTGCATCCATTCTTAAGTGGTTCCTCCTTAATCTTTTCTATTGAGAATATCTGGTGAATTAAATAAATAGGGTTCCAGTCTGAAAAATGAATCCAGAAATTAATTGGTCTCAATCTGAGTATACCTGCCACATGGCCAAATCCTATTAAAATGAATTCTAAGATGATCCAAATTGTTTTGTTATAGAAATAAGCAGGGATCAGATAACTTGGAAGTCTCTTATAAAATATGTTTCATTTCAATAGTATTTATTTTAAGCAATTGGACCTTATATGCAAGACATTAAATGTATATAAATAGGTCCCTATTCAGTTCATACCTACATTTGACGTGATTAAAATGATCATTTAGAAGACAATTTAATAATAGCACATTTTCATTTACATTTGCTGTGATAAATGCTGCTTTTAATGAACATTTTATTAATTAGCTGGGATTCAGTTTCCCTTTGAACTCAGAATTTTACAAGGTGGGTTGGTTTATTGGATACTTGTTAATTTTTTCAGCATATTATCTTCTCCCTTTTAAGAGTCAAGTATTATTCACTTTGCTTTACAACCCAGTGAATATGAAAACCCTCTTCTATTTTATGTAGCACTATTCACTTAACATTTTCTCAAAGTACTTTATAGGATATAAAAATAGTACTGGGTAACATTTAAGTAAAGATAGCAGAAAACAAAAGAACTTTCAAACAGAAATTATGTTCCCTGACACCACCTCCACCTGAAAGAATAATAAGCATGTGGCACAAATGGGATTCTTCAGAAAAGCTGTCTGCATAATTTTCTTTCAAGGTAATGCATTTGACAGCACGAAGTTTGTGACGATCTTAATTGGTCTACTATTTAGTGGAATCTAAGAAACTCTCTGATTTATTTCTGAGAGATAATCTTATTTCACCAGTGTCTGTGAAAAGCCATACTGCTAAAGGTCAAGTTAGAGATGTGGGTCATGGGAGGGCACCAGCCAAATCTGGCTTCTGCATGCAATCCAGAGTTAACTTCATCAATGTGCTCTGCTGACTGGGGATTGGACAGACTTTACAGTGACAAGTTGCCTTATTTTTTATGGTTAAAGAGTTAATTTGCAGGGGGTGGGGGGGTAGAGCAGAATTTTTTAAATAATTGTTAGGCTTTAGAAAGATCCTTTTAATGTTAACTTTATTCAGATATGTGAAGTCTTCTAATTTCATCTGATACTCTCAGTACATCAGGGGTTGACTTTTCTGCCTGCCATTTCTACGTTTTTTAAAAGTCCTTGTTTATGGTTTCAGGTTCTTTAGGTTCAAATTCCTGTGATGTTTTATTGTGTAACATAAAGTTTCTTATTATACAGAATTCAAAATTTCAGTCAATAGTACATTTTGTGGTACATTTTTGAAAAAAAGTTCTTGTAATCCTTATTTAGTTACAAAAATTAAACAGAAGGAAGCTACATAAAATTTAGATGTCCTGATTAAATTCAGTTTGGTTCAACATGTGTTGGGTATAACATATGCCCAACGCTGTAAAGGAGACAGGCTCCCAGCCCTCCAAAAGCTCAAGCTAGGGAACAGCAACCAGAGGAACTGGGACAGGGATTAAGGCAAAGAGCCACAGGCAAGGAACATCATGAGTGCCATAGACAAGAGAATAAAGAGAACGTGGTTAATTTGTCCAGTGTGGGGAGGTGGTCATCTAAATACAGGGACAGTTTGAAAGCATTCCATTTCTAAATATTTAAACAGTTATATTCATTATGATTTGTGAACAGGTGCAGAAAAAAAGCCTGCATAATGTTACATATTTATAGTAGTTCTTTGTCTGTAAAAATGTTAAGTGGATGAGCTATTATGAAAGTAAAAATTCCATATTGTAATTTCTCGTTAAAATCAGTACTATAGGACTGTGGTTCAGATGCTAATATTTAAGAAATACTCTGTAGAAAAAGGTTTCAACCTGAATTAATATATGTATGACTCTTAATATAGAATAAATGTTATAGTGGCTCATGTTTATTTTATTTACATCTCTTAAGAGAAAGGTAGTATATTATGTTTATTTCCTAAAAGTATAAAGATCACACTGATGGAACTGTTGAGTTAGCACTACCAAGAGTTGTGCTCTGCTGATTGGGAGGTGGACAGACTTTACAATGACAAGCCTAAAAGAGCCCACCTCCAGCAGAGAGAAACACAAACACCTTGAACGGGAACTCAATTTCAGTGAACTCTCTATCCATCTAAAGGGCATATCTGACTTTGATGCCATCTGTAAATTTGACAAAAGTGTACTTGTTTCATCATCTCTTGCTATATTCATTAGTTGCCTTTTCTACATTATATTAACCTATGAATTGTTAATAATCTTCATGGCTTTCCAAATAAGCAATCTTGGTATGAAATGCTTCAATTATTCAGATGTTGCCTGCTAAAGCAGGGTGTTTCAAAAGCTAGGTTTATGAAGACACTGATCTTATTCCCCTAACATTAACAACGCTGTTTTTCCTAAAGCACAGAGCAATGGTAATAACTGGACTCTGTGAAAGAATGTACTTTCCAAATCTCGGGACCAATTTAAAGTTGATAGTGTCTGGGGCACTTGTCTGGCTCAGTCAGTAGAGAATGCGGCTTTTGATCTCAGGCTTGTGAGTTTGTGCCCCACCTTGGGCGTGGAGATGACTTAAAAAAGAAAATAAACCGGATAGTGTCCTAAGACTAAAATTTGTTCCAAAGCAAACTGTTTTACTAATGTACAAACCCTGTACATAAGCTCATTTAATATTTCACATCTTGCAGAGTTTTAAAATTCTTATTAAATCACATCTTTCTAATAGATAACACTACCTTTTGCAAAACCTGTCCTCACAGACAATTCTGCTAATCCTTTAGACCCACCGTTACTGCTGAAGTCTGGAGTCCCTGACCCGCTGGTGAGTGCCTACTTCGTTTTTTCTCCAAAAGCTTAAGAACACCAGGGGTTGAGTTTCTGAGCTTAGGAAAGAGTGAGCGCGGACAGTCCCCAACTTACAGTGTTCAACTAATTATTTTTTGATTTTAGGATCGTGTGAAAGCAATATGCACTCAGTAGAAACTGTACTTGGAATTTGGGGTTTTGAGCTTTCCCAGACTCCCATTGTGCGGCACGATACCGTGTCCTGTGCCGAAGCTGCGACAGCTCACGCAACCACGGGTCACCAGGGCAAGAATCGACATACTTACAACTGCTCCGGACGCACACAACCCTCCGTTCTTCACTTTCAGTACGGCAGTCAATAAATTACACGAAATGTTCAATACCTTATTATAAAATAGGCTTTGTGTTAGACGACTTTGCCCAGAATAGGCTAATGTAAGTGTTCTGAGCTATACTTAAAGTAGATAGGCTAAGCTATGATGTTCGGTGGATTAAGTGTCTTCAGTGCATTTTCAACTTACGATATTTTCAATATGCAATGGGTTTATTAGGACATGACCCCATCACAAATGGAGGGAGATTATGCGTGTTTGTACGTGGCAGGCAACACTACACATCCGCAGAAAATCCTCCGCGAAGCTGGACCCAGGTGCCATGAGCAATTAAGGAAAACCTAGGTAAGGGGAGGATGGTGTGCTGGCCCCAGCGTAGAAAAATGCCAAACTAAAAATGGTCTCTGTCAATTCCAACTCATCGTAGCAGTGTTCAGTTTCTCCACATTAGCAAGATAAGATGCACTTTTCCTATGACTCATTTTGTGGCTAAATTCAAATAGGACTTTCAGCCTTGATTTTTATTACAGTGCAATTATGGGGTAGAGATTCAGCCTTTCACAGCTATCCTGTGGCCATAAAACCCAGACCTTCCACTCTGGCACTCCTGGAGATGGGGAGCCCAGGG